GAGCCGTCGGCCGCGCTAGTCTACGCTAGTCCTCCCCCTCTCTCGCACCGCTGGAGCCCCCGCACCGCCAACCTCCCTTCCCCCCTTCCCCACAAGTGTAAATACAGAAATATAATAGACTGGAATAGAATAATTCTTGACAAGGTATCATCTGCTTTCACGATCCGTTTCTGGTCGGAACTTTTTTTTATTTTATTTCTCTCCCGCCGCGGCGGCGGTTGGCCGCTTTTGGGCCGCTCCGGCAGTTGCGGGGGGCGCAAACTTGCAAACGAGGGGGTCTCGGATGGATCAGGTGTCGGGTGTCTCCGCGCGTGCGTGCGCAGCGAGCGCCCGGGGAAGGACACAACAGGTGTCTGCGTGGCTCGCCGACGAGCACCGCCAGGGCACCGCCGCTCCGATTATGGGCCCCGCCGAGGCGGAAACAGTTAATAAATAAGGAAAGCAGGGGAACATAATCTTTGAAGTCCCACGCTGTGCCTGCGCGCCCCGCCGCCACCACAACGACTGCGGGGGCAGCTCCCGCCCCTCGTTAAAGCATTATACTTTGTATGTGAGAGAGTGTGTGCGTTCATTAAGAAGTCAATTTTCTTTCCTTTTTTTTTTTTTGTCGAGACCGCGCGAGTGAGATGATGGAGTTATCAGCCGGCGTAGGCGACTTTGTTTGAAAAGAAACTCCGCCGCCCGCCGCCCCTCGGTGGTGTCTAGCTTCCCAGCTTAGGTAATGACTTATTCTGCCCTCTATTTACAACTATTTCCTAACACGCATAGTTCGATACAGGAGGTACACTGCTCTGTTTAGTAGATGTTCCAACTTCGCCTGAGAATTATGCTATAATTCGCCAGTTTATGTTAAGCTGACGAGGAGAAAAGGGGAAAAACCATAACATGCGAAACAATCCATCGACAGACGGAAGGCGGCGAAGATCCATTAGAACGAAGTGCTTTTCCAGGTTGTTATTCTTTTTCTTATTTGGCTATCACCTTACGCCAGAAAACTGCCAATTTAAAAGGGCTAGGTCAAAATATTTTCTGTGGATGTAGACATGAAAATTTAGTTTCGTCGCAGATTGTCTGATTAATTAGCCTACGCCTCCTGATCCATATGCAAATGGCTTTATCATCAGACCGTTTCTCACTCGCGGCGTAGCGAAAGCAAGGTAAAGTGAGTCGGTGTGGTGGGCGGTGTGCAAATATGGTTGTACCGCTGGGCGAAACGAGAGGAAAAACGCAGAGAGGGGGGGGAGAGTGGGCCGAGAGTTTCCCATGGGGATTATTATAATGACTGTGATCTGATTTCACTTCTCCTTATAAAATCCTTTTCGTCCTCCTCTGGACAAGCCATATATACCGAGAATGAGACACACATACACACACACACGCACACGCACGAACGGTGAGCTGGCCAATATGGGCTCGGATGTGGGCTGAGGCCCCCTCCCCTCACCATCCTCATTTCCTCGCGGGGGGACGCGGCGCGTGCCGGCGAGGGTACCGCAGGTACTGTACCCGGCCGCGAGTGCGGAGTACAGTACGTCCGTCCGACGGCAAATAAACCCTTGCTCCGTACGGCCTCTTCCTCTCCCCCCCCCCCCCGTCTCCTTTCGCCTCTAATTCTCTATGGCTTTCTGTCTCTTGCCCCCTTCCCGCGCGCGAAGGCAGATTCGCGCGTCAGGAGAAATGCTCACACCACACCATGCACCGCTCCTTTCACAATAACCTGGCGAAAACGCTCGCGCGCGGGCGGGCTTCGCGCTGCACCGTAAAACTGAATAACGTATACGATTTATAAATCGCAAACAAACACGGCCACCACACAGGCGGTGTGTACGTCTCGTTATTAGTATCTGGGTCCGAGTCACACCAAACAGACACACACACGGCTCGCGGCCTTCAGAGCGCCGGCTCTCGAGGTGCGAACCAGTCATCACCAGCGCCGTAATGGGCGCCGCCAGTAAGTGCGGCATTGTCACCGGGACATATGGATTGCCCTCATCAACACCGTGAGCCATATGTGCGTGCGGGCTGCCCCGAAACAGCATATGTCACATTAACGTTGGCACCCGCAAAAAAAAAATGTTCTGCTAAGTTTGCTCATTGCTTTTGCTGCATGATAGGAACACAAATCAAAAAATGTTAATTGGCAAAACTTTATTTTGACTCTTATACGCTGTAAAAGCAATCGCCTTGACTTGTTTGTTTGGGTAAACTAATACAGAAAACGTAAGCGATTTAGGCGTAGGCTGAGTTGAATTTCGCCGGAGGTGCACACGCACTATTCAGACTTTAAGTCACGCATGCGTCGCGATTGCACTGGGCGGCGTAAAGGGAACGGTATGAAGGAAAAACGAGGGTTGAGATAATGGCGGGCGGGGGAGGAAAGGGTGCGGCTGGCGCCCTGACCTATGGCCGCCGCCGCCCGCGAAGTCCCGTGACGCAACCGCCCGCCACGGAGTGATCTCAATCCACCCCGCTCCGCTACGCCCCACCACGCCCAGCCACGCCCCGCCACGCCATGGCAGGCAATAACATTACCGCCATGCACATGACATTCACGGCAGACGATGGGGGAGGGGGGCGTCAAACACATACAACACGGCGGTGCGGACGAGTCGTGCTGATGGCCGCAGAACCAGCGACAGCAGCCAGCAGCGAAAACGGTGGTGCGAAAGCAGGAGTCAATCTGAATTTTACTCCGTCTTCTTTCTCGCCTCTCTCTCTCTCTCTCTCTCTCCCTCTCAGCCTCTCTCTCTCCTCTCTCACGTGTCTGCTCTGGCGGGATTACGGCGATTGTGAGATCGCAGCAGCCCCACCCAATCCAGCCCGAGCTTAGCAGCTCAGCCACCCGGCCCACTGGCTTTTGACATTCCGCACAAATATGGACGGATGTCGTGCAACAAGGGCTCCGCGGCCCCGACCTGCCCTGCCGCGGCGGCGGGGGCGGGGCGTGGCGTCGCCTTTCACTTTCAGAGGGGTGTGGCGGGGCGGGGCGCGGTCATACTGATCATATTACGGAAACGACCACCGGGGGACAGACTACAGACGATTCTCCTCAACTCTCCCGATGATAATTCGTCTGCTCTTTCCTTTTCCAATCCGTAACGCGGGTTGCGCCCTGCGTCGAAGTCCCGGCGAGCGCCCGCCGCAAAGAGCGCCTGGGATCGCGGAGTCGGCCCGGCGCAGAGGCTTCAACTTCAACAGAACGCTGCAAATTCAGCCACCAAATTATAGCTATTGTTTAAATAAATGGCCGAAAAATAGAACACGTAGTTCGAAAATTTGTATTGTTTGGATTGTACTGCCTAGCTTTGCATATTATTATTATTTTCAACTGTAACCATTTGGGCTAGTAATCTAAACGCCTCTGTACAAACACAAGAAAATTCCCTCTCCTCAA